TGGAACAGATAAAATGTTTTTTCTTTGTACAAAAATATCAGTGAAATGATAAATGTGATCAAATGCAAATAAAATTGTGTGTGTGTGGGGGGGAGAGAAGAAATGTGTTTTGGGTTAAGATGAAAACTCAACATTAAATGCGTCAAATGACAAAAATAGAACAAATTAATTTCTCAAATTTTATTATTTTCAATCATTTAAATATACAACTTTATATAATCACCGAGTTGGAATAAAAATGTCAAAATTCGTACATAAGAAAAACGCGAGAATCGAGCAAAGAGCGGAACTTCATTCTCAACTGTTTTCCCTCTTTACAGAACATTTTATAAAGCGAGGGGTGCCCCCCCCCCCCATGCCACACGGTTCAAGAGAAAGCTGCCAGCAGACAAATACATTTCAAACAACAAATACATTCATTGTTATAAGAAGTCCGTTTCTGACAGCGATCTCTCGTAGTGAAATGTTTCGGAGCAAGAATTGGCGTATAAACCGTAAACAGATTACATTCAAGCAATATGCCCCCCCCCCCCCCCAATCCCTTAATCCTTTCTAAAAATTCAAGTTTCAACAATATTCATAGCTTGAGGCTTTTCATTATTCCTTCAACCCATTTGGCAGTCGAGACATCTAAAGACACCGTTTGACAACGCGTGGCAACCAAGACTGGAGACGTGCTTCGAGCCGTTCCTGTAAAATGTTGTACGAGCGTGCACGGAGGTCGATGTTGTACGAGCGTGCACGGAGGTCGTCCCGCGAGGCAAAGCTGCGTCTTCAGGGCCTTGATCCAGATGAGGTCCAGTTCCAGCAGAACGGTTCTGTCTGAAGACGTGCGTGTCGGAGGAATGTTTCTTTGGCAACAAAGCCACTAACGAACCGCGCTTTCAGACGATGTCGGGTGAATTAAAAAAATCTAAACAATTAACAAAACCCACATCTGTAACAAAGCTTATTATTCAATCAAGTCACCATAGCAACCAGAATCGGTCCGGGGCGGGGTCAAGACAGTGGTATGCTAATACTGTTAGCTTCCACTTTTGTCACACAATCAGAACTCCTCGACTAAATTCCCTTCAACATTTTCCCACTCTGCTTCCTGTTGAATCTCCCGTTCCTCATCAGTGCACACGTGCACCGCCTTCAGGGAGATGCCTTCACCTTCTTAATCTCTTCCCTTGCATGCTTAAAAAAAAAAGAAGCATTTCCAGAATTTTCTCCCGAGCGTCCCTCACTCTACCAAGACGTGAAGAAGGGCCTCTTGCAGTGGAAGGTTTGTGTGAAAGCGTTGCCCAGAGTGACGACTCGTCCTTGGCCGCCCGACCGGCTGCGCTCCACCACCACCCGGGGCATCTGCACCAGCTGGATGGGGCTCTTGCCGTCCTTCAGAGCCTGAGTCAGATTCAACACCTGGGAACAAACCGGTTCAAGAATAAAGAAACAAGTCGGAAAGAAAAAAGACTCGGTAACGACGTGTGAACTCTGCCGCGGAGGGAAAACGTGTTCGTTTCTGGAGCCGTCGTTTTAAAACCGAAGATTCACGTGTGGGCCGCGAGTAAACAAAGACATTAATTTAAAACCTTACATTTGTTCCTAAACCAAACGGCTCTACAGACCTGACATTATTACCTCCAGCTCTGTCAGGATAATGAAACGTCAACATTTACCACTTTTTTCAAGCACAAAGTTTTAAAAATGATCAGGGCAAAAACATCTGTCGTTTCAACAAAACTTTATTAGCTCAAGTTTGACAACAGTGGAGTAAAACAAGCTAAATGCCCAATATTGAGCCAAGGAATCAACACCAGTGATTCCCTTACTGTTCTACAAGCAGGGTGCCCTGCCCTGCCTACCGAACCACTCCCCCGCACCCCCAGTCTACAACTGCCAGCATCGACGTAGCGCTAAGCTAGCGGCGTGCAATACAGACGTGTTAGCTAAAATGCTAGAGGTAGCATTATGATTCCCCCCCCAGCTCAGTGCGCAACACAGACAAGTCTTGGTACCACCCTCCTCCCATCGGCAAAAATCGCAGAAGAGATGAACGTCCTGCCAAGGCAACTGCCCTTCAATAAGGAGCTCATTTTAATATTTTAAATCTTAAATCAAATGTTTTTATGAACTATTCACTTTATTAGTGTTTGTTGTTTTGTGGGGGGGAGGGGGGTCTATCGCTTGAGGAAGTTCAGTTTGGCTGTGCTGGTGAGTCTGAGCCACGACAACAAACACCATCCGTCTTCATGCCAAAGATCTAACACGGTGCTCTGAGCATGTGCTGGGGATCAGGCTCAGCTACTACCACAGCAGATTTCAGCTCAACGTTTGCTAAACTGACCCGGCTATGCTACTTCATGCACGTACTGAATATAGCAAAAATAAAAGGAGTTTGTCCCCTGGCAGTGTGTTAAAGTACCTGTATGGTTTATTTCTAAAAATACAACATCTGAAATATAAACGAGGCATTTTTACGACACCGCGTGCTAACGTTCGGACAACTGAACTTGTAGGAGACGTAAAAAAAACACGAAGAAAAAGAAAGGAAGCAAAACAAAGTGAGGCGGGAAGAACGCAGGGCTACAGGCAAAAATAGACTTTAAAACGCGACGCTACTAGAGAGTGTGAAAAATAAAAGTAGGTTGTGAGTAGGCCTGTCACGATAACTGATTTTGCTGGGCGATTAATCGTTTCAGAAATTATTGCGATAAATGATAATATTGTTTGAAATTTGACTATAATTAGTAATTATTGTCAAATTTAAGAAGAAACGTTTAATTTGTTTTGTGTGTAGTATCTTTTTTGACCACTGGATGGCAGTATAAGGCGGTTTGAACCAAAGGATGGATAGTGAGGGAGCGAGCAGCGTGTCTCTTTAAGAAAAATGTGAGGGAGACCCCTTGATGTGACATGGGCTTTTCTTTTTTTTTGGTTCTCAAAAATGGCGGTGTGGTTTGAGCTCTTTAGCATAGCATTTGTCACACAAAGCTTTTAATAAAAAATAAAAAAAAATTCTCAACTTCTTTTTACAGAGAAAAACAACTTTTTAGACGAAGGCACAGGTGAATTTTGGAGCTTCGACAAGACGGATGTTTTCTCCCCGAGGTCGGCCTGTTAGCTTAGCTCGTAGCTTAGCTTCTTTTAACGATCCAAAAACACGATTTTGGACGGTAAAACAGATTTTAAAGCGAAAACAGAAAGGGAGGGGTCAGAGAAGAACACCGGAGTTGAGCTTTTTGTCATCCGGTGTCTTCGGTAGAAAGAGAGACAAAGAAACGATGAAAATGAGGTTGATATTTTTCTTTTATATCATGCGATTAATTGATTTACCGTTTATCGCGACAGACCTAGTTGTGAGAAAGACAGAGAGAATATAAGGGTATAAACCAAGACAACGGAAAAGAAACTACAAAAAAATAAAAAAAAGTCAAATTCTGACTGGAACTAAACAACAAAGGAGGTGATTTTAAAATACGTGTCTAGGTTCAACTCACCTGTCCTCTCATGACGGACATCTGTCGCTCAAACATAGTTTTGTCAAAGCCTTTATCCGTCTGCAGACAAACAATACTAACGTTAGCTAAAACCAAAATCCAACAGTTGCTCTGTGCTACAGCGATGAATTGTACCTTGAACATCTCGTAGAGGTCCTCACAGAGGTCCTGGACAAAGTTCATGTCGGAGAGGCGGGACAGCACCAGGTCTCTGGTCTCCTGCGAGAAGGGGACCTTCGCCTGGGGGAGCCAGGCCCAGTGGAAGGGGTCTAATGAAAAAGCAGCCGTGAGACGTTTTATTAATCCCTCACAACGTTACATTTCTGTGCGAATAAGCTGCGTTAAATAACTTTTAATGTGCTTGACAGGACATACCGTCGAGTCACATTACTTTAGTAACTCTTCACTTACAGCGACGTGACACAAGCTACAGAATTATTTTATTGTGTGAAGGTTTATGAAGATCCACAGTGCGTTTCTCGTCCCACAGTTTTCAGCTATTTCATCAATTCATAAATCAAAACGTTCAGCTCTTTCAGGACATTCCTGCTATACGACGTTGGTATTGGTGCAACTTTAGCTTTTTAAAATAATAATCATTTTCTGACATTTTGTTCTCATAGAAAATGAACTGAGCTCATTTTACATCCTTCATATCTTTAGATCTGTTTACAACCTTTTACTTCTTTCAGCTACTTTCAGCTAATTTCAGCTGTTTTGTGCTCCTTTCTGATTCTTCCTGCTAACAAGAACATTTTTGTGCTTCTTACTCATTTCTGCTAATTTCATCTTGTTCTGCAAGTTTCAGCTTTTTCTGTTAATTCAGCAAATATTCAGTTGTTTTGGGGCTAATTTTAGCCTTTTCAGCTAATTCCACATTCTTTGCACTTGTTTCAACTGTTTTCAGTCTAATTCAGCAAAACTCTGCTCTCTCCACTTCCTTGTGGTAATTTAAGCTTCTTTCTGCCATTTAAGCTACTTTTCATTTGTTTTTGTTGCTAATTTCAGCTTTTTCTAACTTCCACTTTTTTGTGCTAATTTCAGCTTCTTTCAGCCTAAATGGGCAAACGTGTTCTTTTTACTTTTTTCTAATTTAAGCTTGTTCTACCTGTTCAGCTACCTTGTTAGCATTTTTTTGTGAATTTCAGGTGTTTACAGATAAATTCAAGTTTTTGAGGTAATTTTTGCTACTTTCAGCCTAATAAACGTCCTTCTAATTTCAGCTTGTTACGCTCATATTTCAGCTACTATTTAGCTGGTTTTATGCTAATTTTACCTTTTTAAGAAAACTTAAGGTTCAAGGTTATTTATGGTATTCAAATCACATGTGGTACATAAAGTGGAACTAAATTGTGTACTCAAGGTCACAGTTACATCCAAAAATAGCAAAAATATAAAGTATAAAAATAAACTGTACACAAAGATCTGAGATACAAACTAAACACTAATAATGTAAAATAATACGGTGTACTAAACAGCAGCTCTATTTCACAAATTCATTTAACTAATTCCACATTTTTTAGCTTGTTTCAGCTTTTTCTGCTTCCATCTGATAGTTTAAGCTTCTTTCTGCCTCTTCAGCTATTGTTTGGCTATTTTTTTTTTCAGCTTAATTTTAGCTAATTTCCACATTTTTATGCTATTTTCATCTTAATTAAATCTAATTCAGCAAATATGTTCTTTTGCTAATTTAGGCTTCTTCTTCCATTTCAGCTACATTTTAGCACGGTTTTTTTAGCTAATTTTAGCAAGTTCATCTGCAATAAGCAGTCACACTGCAGTTTCGCAGGGAATGCAATTTCTCTAGTTTTTGTTTAAACAGCCAAAAATGTAAACTCAAATAATTAGAAACTTAAAACACAAAATTTATCACAAACTTCGAAAGAGCTCGTGCTGCTTTAAAACAACTAAACAGATTTAAAGATGACTTTTTAGCATACTTTTAGTTGTTTAGCTTTTTCACTACAGCTGAAGTCAAACTAATCTAAAAGTGTGTTGGCTTCAGTTTAGCGTTCAGGCAGCAGGACAACTGAAAACTATTTATACCTAATCATCACATTAAGACGTATCATTCCAAGTTAAAAGTAAATTAAAACACTTGTTAACTGTTTTCAGGAACAGCAGTGACAGAGCCGGTAAATTAAGAACGTACACGCTCTCCACTCATCTGGATGTTTAAAGGGGAAGGCCAAGCCGTTGTCGATCGCTGCAATCTTGATGCAGGAGTCCGTACTCTTCTCCGGCCATCCTGCGTCCTACAGAGATGAACCAAATGATTCATTTACAAAAGTGCTCAAGCTCGTTAATAATCAAGTATCTAGTATTTGTCTAGTACTTGGCAGAAAACGTGATTCGCGTGGCACTGCACGGCAGCCGAAGTTTACTCGTTTAAGTGACCTGAAGCAGGTTAAAGTTCTGGTTTATAACGAGATTCAGCCATATTTTAACTCACCTTCTGCCTTTCATCTCCTTCTCCTGGCTTCTCATACTTGATCAACCAGTTGTCATTTCCCCGATCTGAGGAGGAAGACACAGAAAAACTGACGTCAGCCGAGTGAGAAGATTTCATACATTAAAATGCAAGCAAAGGAGAAAAAACTGGAATGTTGGAACATGTGACAACAAAGGCACGATTACCGTAATTTCCAGACTATAGAGCGCACCTGAATATAAGCCACGCCCACTGAATAAAAAATAATAATTTTGTACATATGTAGGCTGCAGGTGTTCCAAGTTGTAACATATTTACACAGAAATACATATTTTTAAACTTTTAATTAAATATACTAGGCATGGGGCCGATCCGATCCGGTATCGGCCTCTGATATCAACATAATTCATGTATCGGATTTTTCCGATCCAACCTGACAATCTTTCCGATCCATGATGCATGTCTGTCTGATGACCTGCTCTGCAGGTTGGCTTCAAACTATGAAATGGATTTCCTGAACGGAGGCGTGTTTCATGAAGCCCAGAGTAATAAGACCCGCCTCACAATCAGGAAATCCATTTCATCTTTTGCAGCCAGCTACAAAGTGAGTAAATACTCGAGGGCTGAGCACTGAGCAGCACTGTTGCTAACGGCTAACCAACGTTTCATCGTAACATGTCCGCTGTGTGGAAGTATTTTACACTAAACACCGCAAGACGGCAACGTGCAACGCCTGCAGAGCCGCTGTACCGAGACGGGGAAGCTCGGTCACGACCTACAATACAACGAACTTAATAAACATTTGAAAAAGCACCACATTAAAGTGCACGAGGATTGTTTAGCCAGGCACCGCGGTAAAGTTAGTTTTACGTTGGACGTTCGAGCTCTGTGGCTTCAGCGGTGTGTTCCTCTCGTTCAGTCCGGAGCAGACAGTCTGATTTCAGTCTGCTCGTCTCGGAGGGTCAGACTGAAATCAGACCGTCTGCTTCACAGCTTGATTGAATATTTGCAGTTAAGATCTAGTTTACATTTACCCTCCAGGAGATATTTATCATCTCAACTTGAGAGTTCTGTGATGGAGTTAAACTCAAAGCAGTCTGCTCAGATAAATAGTCTTAAATTATTATTTTTATATATGAATGTTTCTGTTCAGTGCCCTGAAATGACTTCTGTTGTGACTTGGCGCTTTATAAATAAACTGAATTGAATAGACAATCATAAAAAAAAGAGCATGAACTGAAAAATTAAAGAAAATTATACATGTATAAAAAAAGAAAAAAAAAAACAGCTACATTATAAATAGATGTAAAATACTAAAAACAGGAACGTGTCTGTGTTGGTTTTTGCCATGAGCTTAGCAGATGTTTGAAGCCATTTAATCACTTTAATATCCACTTTAAAGATAGGAATAAAAAACAAACATGTTTTGTGTTAGCAGAATTTAATTCTAACTTTAAAACTTACCTCAAGTTGCCTTTTTGGACATACATGCATATATTTGTACAAACTGTACTTGAGAGGAGATTATTACAGCCTCATATAAAATCAATTATGATATTGGAATAGTATCCGTATCGGCCGATATACAGACTCGGGTATCGGGATCGGAAGTAAAAAAAGTGGATCGGTGCATCCCTAAAATATACACCACATGCACACATATGTACAGTAAATGTTTTTTTTTTTCTGAACAGTGTCTGTAACACGGCTGGTTAAACACAGAAGCCTACCAGGAAGTCACCGATCACCATCTTCATTCCTCCTGCGCACTAAAACCACTAAAGTCGTCTTCAGCGTCAGAACTGAACGGCCTCAGGAAAACTTCATCACACGTCCTCTCTCTTTTGTCTCGAGGGAAATACGCGATTTGATTTACGATTCACACTTTGAGTGGCTGCAAATACTTTGTTGTGTAGAACGAGGGGGGAAACTCCCACAGGGTGGGGGAGGAGAGAACGTTCATTGGTTCGACTGTGACCCGTTTGGTAATTTCACTGGTCAGATTTTTTTAACCTTTATTTATTCAGGTAGTCTCATTGAGTCACGAGGAGCTGAGACGTGTATTGTGCAGCTAAGCGAGCGCCTGGGTGTGACCAGGATAAACGTTATGGAGGCATAAAGCTCGTTAGCCTGTCATAAATTAGCCGCAGCCTTTTGTAAGCCGCGGTGTTAAAGTCTGTGAAAAAAGTAGCGGCTTATAGTCCAGAAATTACGGTAAAAGCATCTTCACTAAAACAAGACAAGTTTTCTAACGCTAACTATCAAAAGTTTTCGGCGAAGGACAGAAGAGCCAGATGAAACATGCACCTGTGTTTCTGATGACATAATCCAAGACGACCAGTCGCTCAAACTGGGACTGCAGCTGCTTCCTGATGTTCTCCGGCAGAGGTTCGGCCTCAAAGCGCCGCAGCCAGTAGTCAGCTTCGCGGTAACCCTCCACAAACAGCTGAAACGAGCCCACCTGGAAACAAACGTGTTCATTCATGCAGAGCACCTAAAAACAAACGTCAAGCTGTTCTCAAACATTTAGTTTCTGGAAACCAGATGTGCACGAACAAGACCAACTTCTTGCATTTATTTGTTCCAAGGTCTAAAAGAAGTAACGGGTATGGAGAGTTATCACAGTCAGCTGCACGACGACGTTATTAAGTGATTAATAAAAATAAATAAACTGAACTGGAATGAAAGTACAATTCAGTGTTTAAAAAAATGCTTTTTTTTGTAAAATAATGTATTAAAGCAGAGCTGACATTTAAGCTTCTGACCTTTTTGTTTAAATAAACTTGTTTACTGAACAAACACGAATAGAGAACGCTCAAATATTTATTTGATGGTCCTGCGGGCTGCAGCCGAGGCTATTCCAAGCCCCGAGATGACGCTTTTAGAACACGGTGTCAACACAGCGGCCAGTGTAGGAGGGACTTCTTTCTTTTTGACATTTAAACTGTTTGATGAGGTTGATAGCAAAGAGTTTGGTGTTTGTTCTACAACCTATTGAAACATGGATACTGAGTATTTTACACACACACAAACAATATCAATCTAAGATAATTCATCTTCAAGAGTATATCCTATTAATGGCTTGGAGGAAAAACAACAACCGGTGATGTTAGATTAAATATACCATATTTTTTGGCCTATAAGTCACAGTTTTTTGCATAATTTTCAAGCCCTGCGACTTAAACACCGAAGCGACGTATTTATGGATTTTTTCCCCAATTTTTGGCTGCGATATGACAGTTTCATTCATTCTGACTGAAAATATTGAACACTACCATTTTCAGCCACTAGATGGCACTAGAGTAGTATGGCATGCCGTTGTATCGTGTATGGGGAAAGTGGCTATTAATGACACAATCGGCTTGCCGTAGCCTGTCACTGTTGTCTGCCTGGAGCAACCATCAAATCGAATTTAACCATTGAAGTACATTTATTAAGTAAAAGTTCAACTGAGACACACCTTTAGTATAAAGTCATGCAAACAAATAACTGTTTTAGGTGGTTATCTTGTTAAATTTTGAAGAAATGCACATCAAGTCGCCCTCTGCGCGTTCATGTTTTCGTGCCTCGACTTTTGAAAATGCAGCTGATTTGACCGTCAAAGTGCATTTATTAAGGAAAAGTTGGACTGAGACACACCTTTACTATAATTTCGAGCAAACGATTGTTTTTAAGTGTTAATCTTGTTAAAGTCCTCCCGTGCACGCCCCTGCGGACGCCACTTGGCAGCCAAGCGATTTTTGGCACACCGGCCCACATTTCCGGGTTGTCAGCGGTGACGCATAATCGATGCGATGTATACGGCGAAGCAACTTATACGGCGAAGCGACTTATACGGCGAAGCGACTTATACGGCGAAGCGACTTATACGGCGAAGCGACGTTATGCGCCAAGCACATTGGCCTTATTGTTTTGTCCTTTTGGACAGGTTGGTTAATCAGCCTTTAATCGTGTTGGGCTGTGGCCTTTTCCACCCGCCCATAAATAGGCTGGTTTCATGGAGCTCGCTCTCTCAGGCTCACTCTGTTTTTGGTCCTTCTGAGACACAATGGGTTTCTCTTCTCCTTTGTCCTTGTGGCCTGCTGTCGGTGGCCCCAGCCACCTCAGGTAATTTTTATTAACTTTTTGTATGTTTTTTTGTAGTAACTTTTGCCCGGTGGGACTGGTAGCCCTGTTTTCGTTTTCTTTTGTAAGAGGTTTTTTTTAGAGGTTTTGTAGGTTTAGTCTGGTATCAGCAGCGGCTTCGACGGCCCTGTACAGGGTTGGCCCGCTGCTGTACCTTTTTGTTTGGCTTGTCCAGCTCACCAGGTCCATCTTTAAGTTTGTACTTTACTGGTGCGACTTGTAGGATGGTGCGACGTGTACATCGGAAAATACGGTAGCAGCGTTACCTTTGGGGGGAGGCCCACTCTGTGGAAGCGTCGTCCCACCTTAGGGACTTTCTCCAAGGCGTACTTCTTTCCTCTGGACTTTGCTCTGTCGATAGCATTGTAATGGAATGTCTCACTTGCTAAATACACCACCTAATCAAAAAATAAATAAAAATACCCCAAGTTTAGCCGTGAAGAAGCGTTCCCCTTGTATAAAAACAGTTGAGTCACATGCAGTATATTAACTCAGAGATCCGTGTAAACAGAAAAGCATGCACTGTGAGCTGCACCTTGGTTTTTGGAACCACCCCAAGACTAAGTTTAGTATCGACCAGCGAGGCTGCAGCCTCCGAGAGATAACCCTGGTTGGGCAATAAGCAGCCTCGGCCAAAACAGCACGGACAGCAGAGCTAGTGAGAGACACGGGAAAGAGTTGCGAGTGTTAACATTTCCTCAAACTCGGCTTTATCACGCAGGAGGCGAGTTCTGGAAAGAAGGCAAAAGAAAATCTGAAACGCTTTAAAACGTCTCCAGATAAAAACGTTGAATCACAGCGTCTTAAAAAATAAACGTCAAGCACACAGTGGAGCATAAAACCTTAAAAAGCTCAAGATATAAACGTTGTTCACTTCTTAAGGTTAATAAAGAGAAAAGAGAAAAGCAACGCAGCATACCTTGTGAAAGTATTTGGTCCATTTTGGGTTCAGGTGACCGTAAGGTTCCTCTGACTTTGGTTTGAAAACACCAATAATTTTCTGCAGAGAAAAAAGAACTGGTCTAAGCAAAGAATTTAGGCACTGGTTCCATGATTCAACAACTCCATATTAGCTCGGTAGTATAAATTTGAATCTAATGTAAGTTAGGAAATGACAGGTAGTGAGAAAAGTGCCTCAGAACTAACCCCTTTTGGGTCTTTGACAAAGTAGCTCCCACTGGATCCCTGGGAAATCCGTTCTGGAAAGACGCCACCTTCAATAGCATGTTCTGCTCTTTGGATAATGTCTGCAAACTCTAGATCATCGGGGAAATGGTTCAAATCCCCGCTGTTTGTACCTGGCAGGAACAGGAATTCAGATTGTTCATCATATTTCTGAAGACAACCAAAGCTCTCCTCATTTGAACATATTCTCTTTCTGGAATCAGCATTTCAATCTTGCAGATGGTTCCATTTGCAGTTCTGCATCAACGATTTCTTCTTCTGAGTCATTCACACAAAGAAGCTTTTTGCTGCACAGCAAACGAGATAAATGACTCATTCTGTCACATCGTTGTCTGTTATCTTGTCGTTGCGTTATAATGCTCTGGACGTGAAGTCTCTCTGAACATGAACTAATTATTCCCCTGATGAAAACCCTCTCACGTGGCGTAACACCATCCAACTTCTCCGCCGTTCAGGGGGTAGAAGAGTCAGCTGACAGAGCGCCTCCACATGCTCTGACCACCAGTCCAAACAGTGAGATGTAACGTTGAACTGATCCTCTTCATGTCTCCATATCTAGTAAACAAGAACTCCTAATTGATGCAGCCATGTTGTTTTATATGGTTTCATAAAATAAAAAAAAACTAAACAAATTTGATTAACACTATAAAAGTACTAATTTTGAACAAATCGTTTTATTCACATTTCCAAATTTCTGCAAACACTGTTCTCTGGCACAGACAAGCAAAACGAAACCGTGGACATCACTGAACATCTCGTAATTAATCTTTTCTTGACAGTTTGAAGGAATGTAAACAACAAAAAAAAAAAACAATGGGAAGGTATTGCAACATGTCCAGATACTTACAAGTCAATCTGTTAACAATAAAGCTAGCACGCTATAATGTCAGTCCCAAGTATGTTATCAATGTTTTCTTAAATAAAGTAAAAGATTTAGCTTTGGTGTTGTTTTCCCCACTGTATAAACTCACAGTTCTCTCTTTCCATTGACTCCAGTGGAGGGGTAGAGGTTTATACCAAGACAGGGTGATCATTGTTTTAGCCACCAGTATAAGGGTCCCCAGCAGGTACAGGCTCTCTTTGCTTAGCAAATCACTCGGGAGCATTCAAGAACAAAGACACGGGGACTCCACTCAATACAAGTGTGGAAGATATTTGAAATGCCTTCCCAAAATGTTTTAAATCTTTGGGCAATCCCAAAAGATGTGTGCATGATCTCCAACTTGTCCACAGTCTCCAGCACAAGTTTGTTTTAGCCTAATCAAATTTAGAAACGACACGCGGTGTTCTGAAATATAGGCCTGTCACGATAACAAATTTTGCTGGGCAATTAATTGTCTGAGGAATTATTGCGATAAACAATAATATTGTTTGAAATTTAATAATTAATTGTCAAATTTTAGAAAAACTGTTGAATTGTTTGGAGTGTAATATCTTTTTTGACCACCTGATGGCAGTATAAGACAGTTTGAACCAAAGGATGGATAGGGGAGCAGCGTCTTTTTAAGAAAATGGGAGAGAGGCCCCTTGACGTGACATGGGCGACGCTTGGTGGTTTGAGCACTTTAGCATTTTTCACACAAAGCTTTTAATTAAAAAAAAAAAAAAAATCAGTAAACAAGTTCTCAGTTTCTTTTTGCAGAGAAAACCCACTTTTTACACGAAGGCACGGGTTTCAACCGTGAGTCTTGGAGCTTGGACAACACGGAGGATTTTCCTGAGGTCAGCCTGTTGGCTTAGCTCGTAGCTTAGCTTCTTAGCGTAGCTGCTTTGAACCGTCCAAAAACACGATTTTGGACGGTTCAAATGGATTTTAAATAGAAAAGAGAAAGGGAGGGGTCAGTGAAGAGCACCGGAGTTGAGACTTTTGTCATCCAGTGTCTTCAGTAGAAAGAGAGACACGAAGAAATGATAAAGCCGATAAATGAAAATGAGGTGGATAATTTTCATTCATCGTGCGATTGATTTATAGTTTATTGCGACAGGCCTACTGAAATATCCAATCTTCATTTTCCAACAAAATTCTTTCCATGTTGGACCGTTAGTTTACATCCATTCTCACACAACAGCGTCCACTCTCGATCATAACATTCATTTCTAGTTCCTGCCTTTCCTTTATCCGTGGAGCACCCCTCGACATAGTGTCAAATCTATATAAATGTTTGCAGTCAGCTATCTTATCACATTTTCCTTCTTCAGTGGCCTTTACTCATTGTGTTCTTACTCAGCCCTGGAAGACGTGGCAGCCCAGGTGACCACGTGATTAGATTTACAATCACACATGGTTTAAAATAAGTTTATTTTATTTTTACAAGTATGGTGCAGTGAGACTTAATTTGGAAATGCTATGGAGACCTCCTCCCACACTCTGGTGGTTTATTAGTTGCAAGAACGCCACGGATAAATCGGATTATTGAGCATGAACTTTGATGCCACAGATAAACGCTTCTCCAAATGCATCCTGACGTAAGCACAATCATCCAGGTAAATAAACCAGAAAACAGTTAGATCATCTGGTCAGATTCTTCTTGGTTGTCTTTCGTCCAAAAGACTTAACAGGCTGAGGCTTGCAAGCAGCTCTGTCGTATAAATAGCACCTTTTCAATGTGGACTTCCAGAAACTACCGTAGCTTTTCACATTTAAAAGGGGACCATCAGTCTAACAACTCACCGTCAGTGCATAACAATGGAAGTCCATATTGAGAAGGTGCTATTTATATGACAGAGATGGTTGGCAGGCCTCAGGTTGATGAAGTCTTTCGGATGAAAGACTAAACGTTTCAGATAAGAATGTGTCCAGATGACCTAACTTTACTTTTTTGTGGTTTCTCCAAATGCTTTTAAGACATTATTCTTGAGGAATTTATTTGTTTATTCTCTCAATGATAAAGTACCCCTATATTTAAAAAAAAATTATTTCACAAATTAAGCAGAGGTTGTTTTTTTTTTTAATATAAATTTGAGTTTTTCTAGAAGTATTTGCATACTTCCCTTTTCTGAAAATGCTTCAAACAGTGCCTATAAAAAGGATTCACCTCCTTGGATGTGATCGTGACTGATTTATGACGGAAATAAAAGCATAAAACATCTGGGCGCCGTTTAGTTTCATGTATGCAAATGACATCCTCATGGTCATTTGTGCTGTGAAAACTAATAACACTTAAAAACTTTTCACTTGAGACCGTAAAAGTCTCTGATTTCCACGACAAGATTTTTTTAATGTAAAAAGTGTAAAGTTTTTACTCTTAATATTGTGTTTCCAGTGACAGAGTCTAATTAGTTGTCTTGTTTAATGCATGATATAAACTTCTACAGTATATAGAGGTGATGATAATTAGTGATTATAATGTACATCACAGTGAGGCTGCAGGAAGTACATCTCTCTTCTGGCTCCTTCCCTCCGTCCACAGGAAGTCAGAGTGAAAGTAAATACACTCAAAGTACTTTTCCCTCTCCCAGAGTCTCATTTTACCATCAAGCACAACGATCTGCAGAGTTTTGGGGTTTCTGTTAGCGCAGAACAATAAGTTACAATTTTTAATTGACCCGTTTGAAAACACCAACTCCCATCATGCAGCTGCAGATTTCTGCAGCGACTGGGTCATTTTAGCCACGGATGTGCTGAAAGGTCAAAGGAACTGGGACACAAACACCCACTACTCCAAGCTTTTTTGTGTCTACGTGTGGCCTAGATCTCTTACCCCGATTAAAAATGGTCCAGCAGGCGGAGGCGGCAAATATAGAAGACCTAAAATATGCAACGAGGTGGGAGATGGTTAAATCCACATCACACTCGAGTCGGACTGTGCCGCTTCCATGGCGACTGCATCACCTTTTTTTGTTCCGCCAGTCCTTTGCTTTCATCGTCTCATTAACACACAGTACTGAGGACCAAGAAGCAAAACCTTACTTTGGTTTCAGCTGCATGAATGAGTCCTCAGCTTCCTGTAGGTTTTGTGGAATTTCAGGTTTATCCTTCAGTATTATTTTAAGGATACCAATTAGTTCTGATCTAAAGTTAGTTAGTTATTAATTATTCCCTAGAAAGAAACTATCAAATTATGATTGTAAGGTTACTTGCTACCTTTCTCTGCTGTCTACTAATTTTATTTAGTCAAACTATCTTAAGTCTACTTTATAGAGAGATAGATATGTGGCCGAGATTATTTATGTTACTCACTCCCTCGGAGTGGGGGAGGTCTATGTATTCAGTGTTTGGAATTAAAGAATGTCTTACCTGTCCTAGAGTCTGTTGTGATTCGCTTGTACTTATACCCAAATGTAAGTTTCTAACATTGTGAACACGATTAATTCTAACTAAAGTGAGATTATATAAGTAAGGTAATCGATTAACATTCTGATTAACCTTTAAATGATTGTACGGTTAGTATAAACCTCAATAATGACACCCAGACACCTCGTTTTAATACATGGCATTTCAAACTTGATTAAAATAATACTGAAGGATAAACCTGAAATCATTTCAAACTTGATTAAAATAATACTGAAGGATAAACCTGAAATTCCACAGTTTATTAACCAACATACAGGAAGCTGAGGAAAACATTGAGAAATGGGACTTTACAGTGACATTTACAGGTTAAATGCATGAGTCAGTCAATAATAATATTAATATTAATAATAATAATAATAATCCCAAGAGTCAAAGATAAATAAGCTGTCAAGAGTTAATAAGGAAACAGATGAGGGTCCTTTTGATGGGAACTATAGATTATATGGGGGAGATAAGACACAAATATAACATATAAGGGTTTTTATAACTCAGCTTTCATTCTCACTCTGGCCCCAGCATTGATCCAAGAGCCCCAGTGTTCGATTATGGATTAGAACACATCACATTCACAGGTATCTGATTAAAGCAGCCATGTTGTAAGTGTTTGGATACCCCCGTCCTGATGGAGAACCTTACCAGGGGACGCCAGGGTGTCTTTATCCGACGACGAGCTGTGTCTGCTCCGCCTGCTCCGCTCGTCTCCGCCGCCTCTCGGAGACGTCGAGCTTCCGGCGAGGCACGGCAACAGCAGCGCCTCTTCGCCGGAGCCGTCGCTCTCAAGCTCGGTCAAGACGCTTTCACACGAGCCCGAAATGCGAACGGCGACTCCCGGGTTCGCCCCGAGCCCAAGTCCCATTCGGTTGTTGTCGAGTGACGCCTGCGGGGGGGCCGAGTACGAGTGAAAAGTCGCCTCCGCGCCGGCCCCGGTGTCCAGCAGCGCGGGCAAACCGTTTCCAGGCTCTGTCGGATCGCACTCTGACATCATACTGTCGCCCCTTCAATGTTCGCTCAGTTGTCCTAATCGTCCTCCACGCTGTCAATGGATCATTTTAAAGAAACTTCCATGTTTACAGGGTGGCATAAACCCAAATTAAATTGTTCGAAAGCAGCTGCTTGAGTCTATCCGTGTCCACATAACTCGTCGATCCTGCTTCCTATCAACTTCGTGCGCATGCGCAACGCGGAACACTGCGGTTGGCTGGAGTTGCCTTCAGGTGCTACTCGAAAAGTCCGTCCCAGGATCTATACACGTAAGCACTCTCGTGATCTATTTTTATTCATAGGGGCATCTAAAGGAAAAACAATAGATTCTTCACATATTTCTTATTATGATGCTACCTGACATTTTATTAAATACTTCACATTTACATAAAACTTTGTAGATAAAGTTACTGTTTCTTCATTAATGTTTCTTTCTTCTTATCAGTTCATTCCTATGTGGTTCTAAAACTGTATTTAATCATTTTTTACAAAATTCCATTATACACAATATTAGGAAAAATTAAAAATGTGTTACCTAAACTTACAACAGATGTTGTTTGTTCAGCCTATTTCGAAAACAAGTTTGTTGATGCCTTCACTGTCCGTTCATTCGCGTTAAAAAACATGCCTGGAAAAATATGTGACTAACTTGTCTCGCCAGCAGGTGGCAGCAGTAATCCATTAGTGAAATAAACAGCGAAACATGAACGTTTTAAACTTAGTACTGTAATCTTTTCCCAAAAAAAATTATGATTTTAATTAACCTCTCTCATTTTGTGATGACAGTTCTAAATCAAGCGGTGAAAAAATACAGACACAGACTTTAATGAAGTTCACAAAACAAATATTGCATTTAGTTACAAATCAATTCACTTCCATTTATTTATATAACAGCAAGTCAAAAGTTACAGAAGTTACCTCAGGGCACTGAACAAATACACTCGTATACATAAAAAGTACGTTAATAACATTATTTATCTAAGGTAGGGTAGGGTAAATAAATATTACATATGATATAAACATGTTAAAAATTGGTCCTCTATATAAGTATTTGTATGGTCTCGACCTCCTTAGTTTATACTTTTCTGTTAGTCCAGTATAAGGCCCAGAGTTTCTGTGATATTATTCCTGACAAGAAATGAGTAACAAGACAGTTTACTTCCAGTAATCAATATGACGATGGATTTACACAATGACTGAAGAGAATGACAACAACTCTGGTGGTAGAAGGAAACTTAAGTCTTTTTTCATGAAATCTGAGATAAATTTGGCTTGGACAGTCATGGATTATGTAGATATTTACAAACAAGAGAGTATTTTAATAAAGAAAGCAAGAAAAGTATTCCTATTGAAACAATATCAATAAAGTTTTTTAACAAAGCACTCAAGGGAAATTCATTAAGACATCAAAATGCTATCATGTGTTGTTAGAAAATAACATGTATAAAAGAAAAATGGGGGGGGGGGGGGGGGTTTTTTTAATAAACGATGAAGATTGGCTATATCAAAATATATACTAGTTCCCAACAAATTGGAGAATGCTCATGGAAAACTTTAAATATTATTTTTATTTTATCTGACTCAGATTTGAGATAACGATTCAAGTAAAGTTTTCTAAGAGAAAGTGTGGCATGACTATATGTCATCCATAGTCATATTTTTTTCTCCATTATAAAACCCTTTTCAAATAAGGAGAGGATTAGGAAATAATCTGGGATTTGATTTGCCTCAAAATGTTATATTATATTTTGACAATCCCTCTGATGTGTATCTACAGGGAAAAGATGAATGTTTGATTAAAATCTTGGCAGTGGTTTGTAAAAATTCAATTCAATTCAGTTTATTTATATGGCACCAAGTCACAACTGAAGTCATCTCAGGGCACTGAACATAAATGCTACAATGAGGAAATGGAACCACCAGCTTTAAATATATGGATCCAAATAAGTGCTGATATTTATTTGAAGGGACCACTGGCACCCAAAACTCATATGAAGGACAAATGGAGGAAATAGACATTTTCTTCATGCAACCTTTATTTATCCAGGTTGGTCTCACTGAGTCACGAGGACTCATTTATAAAAGAGACCTGTTTCAGACAAACCACAGATAAGGTGCAGAAAACAAGAAACAGACATAAAATGCATATAAAATAAAAAGAAAAAATGGTAGCAATATAAAACAAAATACAAACAAGCTACTTTATGAAACGAGGTAAAATACTAAGAACAGGAACGAGTCTGCGTTGATTTTTGCCATGAACTTAACATTTGTTTAAAACTTCCATTAGAGAGATCAAGGTCGAGAGCTTCAGGTTGTTTTGCAAGGTGATCCAGGAAACAGGGGCGGAGTAGGAGAAGGCTCTTGTTGCCGAATTCAGGCCGCAATGAGGGTACACTGCAGGTAATGATGTCTTGAGCATGCACGCTGTTGCTGCACTGACAATGTGTCATGTGGGAGGAGATGTATGAAGGAAACAGATATTTAAAAATGAAAGTGTACCAGTGAGAGAGTCTGCGTGAAGTTAATGATGTCCAGTTAACCAGTGAATACAGGGTGCAGTGATGGGTACGGTAGTTACAGCCAGTTATGAATATAACGCACCGTGATAGACAGCATCCAACATCTGCAAGGAGCTGGCAGGGACGTTCATGTAAATTACCCAAGTTCCCCAAGTATTTATAAAAATCGACAAACTCAGTAGGAACACCATTCGAAGATAAGATAGGAGGAAGGACTGCTGGTACCAATTTTCTGTTTGAAACAACATCTCTTTGCATTTATCAGCGTTTAGCACCAGTTTGAATGATGTTAAATGCAGACTGTAACAGCTGGAAAACCTTAGCAACTGTTTTAGCTCGTCAATAAACAACTGTATCATCGGCATAGAAATGCAAGGAGGCGTCAGGAAAGATCTGACCTACATTACTTATGTAGATTGTAAAAGAGGCCGGGTCCTAAGACTGAGCCTTGTGGTACACCACTTCTGACACAAATTACAAGAAGAGCTCTGAGAACTGATAGATAATGAACACTTGTGAAATTGAGTCAACATATTTGTCAGTATACATTGTTTTGTTCTTAATATTATTGTTTGTGTTTGTGGAAAACAGTTAAATAACATTATCCAAAAAAAAAAACGACTCAACAACTTTTTTTTTTTTCCTAACCGGTCACATGTAAAAATAAGCCCTTTCGTTTAAATATATTTTTCGACTGTACCAAGGAGAAATTAATAAAAACCGAAGCACTTCCTCAGTTTTTACTGAGGTGTACCTTGCCCTTTAACTCCTATATGAATTCTGCAAACAGTCCCGTCACCCAGTGGCCTCTCTTAGATTTACACCTACAGTTCTGGGCTGAAATTCAAAACCACTTCTAATTCCTGCATATTTTATTGCCGAGGACTCAAATGTTTTAATTCTTGTTTCATGTAAATTCTTGATGGCCCGGATCAATAGTTTCCCAGATTTGTTTGAGGATGTTTCAAACTTAGACAATTACTTTTACAGCAGGCATAATGACTGAGAGGAATAAAAACCCAGGAGTGTTAACGAAGCCAGCATTCTGGAGGTTGTTCTGTTCTTCTGCATGTTTTGCAGAACAATCGGTGCACACAGCTGCAGAAACGGAAAGCCATTGTTGTTCATTCACCTGTGCTCTAACTGCTCCTTCAAGTCAAAATGTCTGCAGGTAAATAGGCCTGTTTTCAGAACAGGTTTTCTGTTTGTTAAGCTATTGAGCTATGAATCATTCAAACATAATAAAAGGAACTTAAGGATGAGTTTATAAGTGATGCACAACTTGGCATATACTTTAAATTGTATCTTTAGGCATGAACTGGTTACAAACATGTGATGCGTTTTGTTTGGTGTAGCTGCATTGGTGAAACGCTCCAAAGATGCAAAAACATCATGTTTTTCAAACTTGTTTTCAAGCGGTATAAATCATTATCACAGCAGTTTTCTTCTTTAGATATAAAAAAATATATAAATAAAAGAGAGAGAAAAAAGCAAATTGCACATTATTGCAACAGGTTGCTCGGTAAAGTGCCTGAAGAAAAAGTTTCAAACTGGGCCTTTGCTAAGTTTCCATTCTGAGTTTAAGTGCCTCTTTTACCAGAATGAGTCATATAGGTCAGAGTTAAGTGGTTTAAGAAAGGTCAGATAGAAAAATTGCTTGAAAATGAGTAAAAATGCAGCCAGCGTTCAAAGGAAAACTTTGAAAATACATTTCAAAAGTCTAGAAATATTGCCCAGGAGTGCTTGAAAAGGCTACAAACAAAGCTGGCTCATTGAAAGATAGAAAGAAAGATATGGGGGTTGGCTCAAGACTTTTGCTCAGTGCTTCCACAAGCGCTCGTCTCTTTATGAAGACAGTTTAGAAACTCCTGCACATGAGCCAGCTGATTTCACAGCAGTCATGTGATCAGTGCAGAGGGACAGGAGGTGAAGGAGACATTGGGCGAGGAGGAGGAAGGACGGAAATAGGGGAAGCATGCTTGAAAGGAGTCTGATGAGACCAAAATGGTCAGGAGAGACACATACTGGTAGCTCTTTTTAATTTCTAATCCCATTACCTCGTTCACTTTGGCTGTCCTCTCTGTGCACGGTTTCTTCCTCAACCGTCTTCATCTCTCATTTCCATCCCTGATTCTCGTTCAAGGGTGAAAAGCAGAAATATTACTGTTGTGATGCATGGCATCTGACAGGAGAGGACATCAGCATATCTATTGCTCTGCACCTTCGCCACCACTGGGTGACAACTAAAGCCCTGCAGCAGTCGAAGCACGCTACATGAACGCACGTGAGAGTGAGAGATGTGTCTTCGCTCACTGCAGCATCCATTCCAGCAGATTCTGCTGGCAGAAGACGTGCTTTCCTCTGCCAGCAGCAACCACCCGTATCCATCCCTGCTTCTTTCCTCTTGGCTGCTTGATGAGGGAGAGCCCTGCAGCTCCACTCCTTCCTCATCTGCATGTGTGATATCTGTGATTAGAGTATTTGTTGGCGTTTGAGTGAACGCAGCCACCCCATGTGTCCAAAAACGACAGCATGCAGGAAAATGATTGTGAGGCCAAAAATTCCAGCACAGATGCATCTGAGGTTTTCTACAAGAAGATTTAAGCGTCACTGTTCAGTCTTGGAGCATTACTTTTAGTTGTAGAATCTTGAAGGAGACATGGAGGTACAAGAATAAATCTGCTGCTAAAGACAAAAGAAAAGAAAAAAGATGAGTAAGACAACTGTAAAGAATAAATATTCGGGATCAGGGGAGCGGAGCGCCACGAAGAGCCCAGCTTTCAAACACGTGCAGCATTTTATAAAACTTCTGCGAGAGCAGGAAGTTTGCCGATTCCACCTAATTTATATTTTGATTTTCATCCAGGATTCAACTAATCTGAGCGTGAATACGTGCAAACATCAAAATGATCAGACTTCTTGATCCCAACTAGCTCGTCCATTGTTGACCTGTCTTCAGTCACTTTGGCTGTTTTTGTGGGTAAACAAATACAGGCAACATGATCTGTGTTACTGAACCCTGGTGCAGACTGACACGAGGAACTCAAGGGTAAAAGTAGGAAAATTTTTATTTAAACAAGCAAAATGCTGACGTGGCAGCAAACTCACAAAATCAAAGGATCGGGGGGTACACGGAGGAAAACAGAGCATGACGGCTATGGGAAGCACAATCCACGGATGAGGTGGAAACAGAATAAAACGTTGTTAAAAGGACCCTGATGAAACAATATGACGAACAACTGAGGTGATGATTCAATTCAGTTCAGTTTATTTATATAGCACCAATTCATCTCAGGGCACTGAACAGAAACATTCATATATAAAAAAATAATAACAACATTATTTATCTGAGGAGCAGACTGCTTTGAATTTAACTCCATCACAGAGCTTGAGCAAGCATGAAGGCGACAGTGGGAAGGAAAAACTCCCTCATGAGGAAGAAACCTTTAGCAGAACCAGGATCAGGACAAGAGGACCATCTGCTTCGACCGGCTGGGTTTGGTAAGAACAGATACACAATGGCAGGTCAAGAATCACGTTAAGATAGAAATAGTATCAAATGAAAACTATTCAGTTTTAACAATTCATTTAAGGAAATGTGGTCAATTTGTCCTCTAGTAGTCTAAGCCTATAGCAGCATAACAAGCCAACCCTAACTATAGGATTTATCAAGAAGTAAAGTTTTAAGCCCAGTTTTAAAACTGGACAATGTGTCAGCCTCATGGACAGAAACTGGAAGTTGGTTCCACAAGAGAGGAGCTTGACAACTGAAAGATCTTCCTCCTGCTGCTGGAAACTCTAGAGACCACAAGTAAACCTGCAGTCTGAGAGCGAAGTGCTCTGTTAGGAAAATATGGAACAACAATATCTGTAATATAAGATGGAGCTAGGTTGTTGAGGGCTTTGTAGGTTAGAAATAAGATTTTGAATTAAATTCTAGATTTGACAGGGAGCCAATGGAGAGAAGCTAAAACTGGAGAGATATGATCTCTCCCAGTAACTCCAGTTAAGACTCTGGCAGCAGCATTTTGGATCAACTGAAGACGTTTTAAAGAAGTATTTGGACACCCAGATAATAAACCATTGCAATAGTCCAGTCTAGATGTGACAAATGCATGATCCAGTTTTTCTGCATCATCTTTAGATCAGATGTTTCTAATTTTAGTGATATTACGCAGGTGGAAGAAGGAGGTTCTAGTAACGTTTTTAATGTGGGGGATAAAAGACGTGTCCTGATCAAAAATAACACCAAGATTTTTAACATTAGAGCTGGAGGACAGATTAATGCATCTAAGGAGGGAGAAAGACTGCAAAATTATTTCCTAAGATGCTCAGGCCAAAAACTAATACCTCAGTCTTGTCTGTGTTCAAAAGCAGAAAATTTAGGGTTATCCAGGTTTTTATGTCTTTAAGACATGCTTGTAGTCTAAGTAGCTGATTGGATGGACAAATATAACTGAGTATCATCAACGTAACAATGAAAATTTATCCCATGCTGTTTAATAATATTATCTAACGGAAGCATGTACAAGGTAAAGAATATTGGTCCAAGCACTGCACCTTGAGGAACTCCATGACTAACTTTGGTGTATGATGAAGATTCATTAGTTACATTTACAAACTGGAATCTATCAGATAAATATAATTAAAACCAATTTAGACCCAATCCTGTAATTCCCATATCATATTCAAGTCTCTGTAGTAGAATGTTATGATCAACTGTCTCAAATGCAGCGCTGAGGTCTAACAGGACCCGTGTAGACACCTGTCCGTTCACATGAATCACATGTTAAGATAGAAATAGTATCAAATGAAAACCATTCAATTTAGCAAATCAATTTAAGGAAATGAGGTCAATTTGTCCTCTAGTAGTCTAAGCTTAAGGCAGCATGACAAGCCAACTCTAACTATAGGATTTCTCAAAAAGGAAAGTCTTGGATTGGAACAGGTGAAGGTAGCAGACTGAGGACAACACTGAAAAGGCTGACAGAGTGAGAGATGAGAAATGACACAGGAAGACAAGAGAAACTAAAACACAACGAACAGAAACAAATACAGAAAAACTAAACACACAAATGTGACCTGCTAGTTGGTAGCCGATCACAATATTTACCAAAATATTTTATATATAAGGACAGATTAATTTAAATTTTAGCCTTTAGCCTTTTAGCCATCCTATTTGTTAAAAAAATAAATAAATAAATAAAATACTGTGGTATGCTTTTTATAACTGTTTATTGTTGTTGCTGTTGTCCATTGTTGTCATTTTTCTTTGTTGAAATCAGGTCTCTCTTGTAAATGAGTCCTCGAGGCTCAATGGGATTTACCTGTATAAATAAAAGTTGATTGATAAATTAATGTGAGGAATAAATTGTGTAGTTTTATTTTTTATTTCCTAATTTTTTTAACAGTCTTTTTAACTTTGTAGTGAGTACCTTTGAAATTATGCCAGTTTTTTTTTTTATACCAGCACAGATGATGATGTTTAACTGACTGATTTGATTTTATCAGCTGAAAATATTTGATATAATTGATGTCTAAAAACGTATTAAAAAAGGTCATGTGTTTTCTCATTTTTGCTTGAATGTGTTCTGCTGCAGAACATTGTTCCTCATGACTGGATGGTTAATTCTGCACCAGCTTGTTGGTCTGAATTCTGCACTTTCCTGACTGTTTTCTCTTCAGAAGCATCTTTTATTTTAGATTTCTGACCTCACTTTTTTCATCAGTTTTACTTAAAAGCCTTGATAACAGTAAATTGTTGGTGTGCAGCCACAGAATGAACTGTGATCCTTGAAAATCTTAATTTAATATAGCAGGAAGGAAAGTCTTTTTTTTATTTATTATTTTGAACCGATGTTGTGATTTTATCCCTAAAGGTCTGGTTCCCGTGGAGAAAAGACGCAGTTCAGGACAAAATCCCTCAGATATTGTCGTGGAGAGTGAGACGTATGTGCGTCCACTTGTTGGCAGGAATTCATTTGTTCATCAATTTTATACACCTGATGTCTCACACATTCATTTCTCATCTGTCAATTTGTGACAGGGAAAACCAAGAGTGTTTGCATGGCAGAGTTGAATAAAATCCTCAAAGTTTAATGCAAATAATCAACATTTATCTATTCAGATGATTTGTGTGAACAAAGTCAGAGAATCTTACAACTAATCAATGAAAATATCTTTTTTATTTTCAAAGAGGAACAATGGACTGGTGCACAACAGGAGGGCAAAATAAACTAACCAGTTTTAAACTGGGAATCATACAGAGTGAATAAACATCCACGATGTGTCAGGTTGACACGGATGCACATGATAAATAATTATTTAACTGACAGGAATGTTTTCTTAATATCATATTTCAGTCCATTCTTTGTCATTAATGTCACAATTATTTGAGCTTAAAATTGCCTCTTTCAAATGTCACCATTCTCCCATTTTTGCTCAGTCTGGTTGTGGTGAAGGCGATGTTGAGCCACAGCGACATGTCACCTGTTACCTGTCAAGAATGAGTCATATATATGAAAATATTCAAAGGTTGTCTTTGTAAAAACATATATATGTTTGAAGTTTTCCGTGGGAGTTATACCTCTTGGGCCAAACATCTTCATGTAGCAGTATGAACAATACGGCCTCTCGTCATACTGAAACACAGTCACCAGTGCTGGATTACTGCATCGTCCTACTCATTCACCAATCAGTACTTTGCTCATATTATGCCTCATTTCATTTTTAATACCTCAGCGTGTTGTCCAGCCGTGAGCTGTCGGTTGCACTTCTGACACTTCAGACAAAGAGGATGGTAGTCCCTGCCCAAAGACCTCTTTTTCTCACCTGCAGCAAGGACAAATGAGAACATAGATTTTTGTATCACTTCACTAGAGAATCAGTTTACTGTATTATAGCTTCAAATCAGGTTTTTTTGCTGTTAAAAAAGCAACAGTAAGTCAAACATGTAATCAGTTTAGGGGAAATTTAAGTGGCTGGTGCAGACTGTTCCCTTCATCGGTACAAATAGGCCAGACGCTTTGATGCTGGTAAAAAAGAGGTAAGTAGGCCGGGTCACATCGGGCAATTTGAACTTCTCTGGACACAAATAGGCAAGTGAAACTTGCTGCAAAACAACAAAAGACGTGTAGTTGTGTCCTGCAAGGTGGCACAGTGGTGTAGTGGTTAGCATTGTTGCCAGCGAGAAAGTCACAGGTTCGCCTCTGGGGCTTTATATGTGGAGTTTGCATGTTCTCTTTGTGCACGTGTGAGCTCCCTTTGGTTACCGTATTTTCCGCCATACACGTCGCACCATCTTATAAGTCACATCCGTCCAAATATGTCTAATAAAGTTGAAGAATCCATAAATATGTTGCTTCGCTGTATACGTCGCATCTATTATGCATCACAGCTGACAACCCAAAAATGTTGTGCAAAAAATCAACTGGCTGCCAAATGGCGGCTGTGGGAGGGTGCACAGGATGACTTTAACAAAAAATTAACAAGATTAACACTTAAAAACAATTATTTGTTTGCTCTAAATTATAGCAAAGGTGTGTCTAAGTCTAACTTTTCCTTAATAAATCACTTTGACGGTCAAATCAGTTGCATTTTCAAAAGCCGATACGCGGAAACAGGAACACGCAGAGGGCGACTCGCTGTTCATTTCTTTGAAATTTACCAAGAAAACCAGCCAAAAACAATTATTTGTTTGCTCGACTTTATAGTAAAGATGTGTCCCAGTTGAGCTTTTACTTAATAAAAGGACTTTAACGGTCAAATCAGCTGCATTTCAAAAGTATTCGCTGCCTCGGTGCTCCGGGAGCGTGCTCTGATGGAGGAAATCAGGAAGGAGGAACACTGAGTATTTCTTCAAAATTTAACAAGATAAACACCTAAAACAATTATTTGTTTGCTTGACATTATAGTAAAGGTGTGTCTCAGTTGAACTTTTACTTAATAAATTCACTTCAATGGTCAAATCAGCTGCATTTCGTTGGGGCGGCGCTGCGAAACGAAGCTGATTTGACGGTTGCTTCAAGCAAGCTGGACAAAGTTGATATCTATGGCAAGCCAATTGTGTCATTAATAGCTGCTTTAACCTATTACATGACACAACAGCATGCCATACTACTTGAGTGCCATCTAGCGGCTGAAAATGGTAGTGTTCAATATTTTCAGTCAGAATGAATGAAAATGGTCATATCTCAGACAAAAATTGGTTTATAAATATGGGGAAAATTCCATAAATACGTCGTTTGGGCGTATGAGTCGCAGGGCATGCAAATTATGCAAAAAAACACAACTTATATGTCGAAAAATACAGTACTTCAGTTTCCTCTCACAGACCAAAAACATGCACGTTAAGTTCATTTGTAACTGAATTGTCTGTGGGTGTGAGTGAGAGCTTTAATTGTCTCGTTTGTCTCCATGTGGGCCTGTGATGGATTTGTGACATGTTCTCACACAGTGGTAGAGCACCGGCTGTGACCCGAAAAGAAGAAAAGCAGGTAAAGAAAATGGAAGGATGTTGTCATGCAGCTTTATTTAAAAGAGACAGAAACCCAGAGAGCAGCTTGCACTCGTCTCAGACCCACATCCTGTTGTCATGTATGAGTGTGTGCACGGCTGTGTGCATGTGATTCCAAGAGAAACGAGAGTGTAAAGAAAAAATTTAATTTCTGATGAAAATGTCAATTCAAGCATTAATTTTAAATTCAATCAAATGCTCCTTTTTCATGAAAGACGTTTGGACTTTTAAGAAAAATATACAGTTTAGTTGTAAAGTTGATGGTAGTTGTGCTCCATTTAGTTGTATTTATGTGGATAATATACTATAAATATCGCTGATGGTGGGACAATAAAATAGGCTGGAGGTGATGGTATAAACTTGAAAAATTCATTGTTACAAAAGTATCATTTAAACAATTTAAATACATTTAAATCGCTCCTTATTTCAGTTCATTCTAGACTAAACTTAACCACTAAAGTGAAAAAAGAGAAAACTATGAACAAAGGCTGTCAAACAAGGCAGAGAAAGGCAGGAGTGTAAAAAATTAAGTAGGCCAGACTCACCAAAGTAGACAGGCTTTCCACAGATTGGACAGTAGCCTACCATGGTCTGCAATTATTTATCACACAGGGATTGTGTGTTTGCACGAACTTGGGCTCAGGTTGTGATGGATTTTATCCTGCGAGCGCATGTGTTTTGCATGTGAGCGCTAGCTAAAAATCAACAGGAAAACTGTTGAATTGTTAAGTATGTCAGCATCTTGTGAAGTCAAACCCGGATGTGGCGAGAAGAACGTCACAGGAAGAGAGTGAGGTTTGAGATTTAAGATGTGAACAGTCATAGGTGGAAAACCAGAGTCAACCAACAACTCTGTTTTCCACTCAGTCTAAAAAAACACACACAGAGAAAAACATATATTATATAAGTTCAGTAGATCTTTTTATAATCATGTGTAGCCAACAATCATGTAAAAAAGATGGGTGAGAAGAGAAAGAAGAAAAAAAAAACAGCTGTCAGCAGCTCAAATTCCAGCTATCTTCTCCCCTTTCCGGCTCCTTTCACCCACTTTTCTAAATTAAAGACGAGGACTTGAGCCTCTGAATTGAAGAAAAAAAAAAAAAGGAAACCCAACACTTGTGTCTTTCTTTTCCTCTGTCTGTTCCCCTTTTCTCTCTCCATCACACACACACCCACACACCCCCAAGCACACACACAAGTTCGTCTTTCTATCTTTACCGAGACTTTACATTGACTTCCATTAATGTTTCATTAATTTCTGTAGACTAACCCTGTGACCCTTACTCTAAACCTAACCATTACCAGTACATACCTTACCCTAAACCTAAACATTACCAGTACATACATTACCCTAAACCTAACCATTACCAGTAAACATCTAACCCTAAACCTAACCATTACCAGTACATATCTAACCCTAAACCTAACCATTACCAGTACGCATCTAACCCTAATCCTAACCATTACCAGTGCATATCTAACCCTAAACCTAACCATTACCAGTACATATCTAACCCTAACCTAACCATTACATATCTAACCCTAAACCCAACCATTACCAGTATGCATCTAACCCTAAACCTAACCATTACCAGTGCATATCTAACCCTAAACCTAACCATTACATATCTAACCCTAAACCTAACCATTACCATTACATATCTAACCCTAAACCTAACCATTACCAGTACATATCTAACCCTAAACCTAACCATTACCAGTACATACCTTACCCTAAACCTAACCATTACCAGTACATATCTAACCCTAAACCTAACCTTAAACCTAACCATTACCAGTACATACATTACCCTAAACGTAACACATTCTCAATTCACATTTTAATCCTAAACCTGACCCCTAACCACCAACGACACTTGGACCTTATGAGGACCGGGCTTTGGTCTCCACAAAGAGCAGTTGGTCCTCATAATGTGTTCAAAAATGGTCCTCACAAAGTAACACAAACACACACACATTATGAAGCTTCACTTCTTTCCAATGACATCACAAAAAGAGGTTGCATCTAAAAAGCAGAGAGAGAGAGAAGCCGGGCATGGTGGAGGGACAGATGGGGGGTGGGCGACGGAGGCAGTTATTCCCCTGGGATGGGTGATGGAGACAGACCTGGGGAGGGACAGAGGGGGGTGAGGTAACAGTAGCCAGACTCGGCTCAGCGGGGACAAAGAGGATGAACTGTCATGAACTTCACGGGGCAGAACGAGGCCACTGGAGTTACTGTGGAGGACAGTCGGTGTCTGTCTCATCGTCTGTGTGAGAAAAAACAGGAAATGTAGAAGAAATATTCTGTCATGTACAAATAATACCGCTACATAGTGGATCACGCATGAGCTCTGTGTGAAATATGTTAAATCTTATTATGGTTCGGAAAAGAGAACGATTGGAATGCAAAGTTAGAGAAAATAAAATTTTAAACATGTTGGAGTCATTTCAGTCTTGTTGGTTCATTAGGAGGTTGGTGGTCAAAGCTGTTTCAGGTCCGACCAGAAGGGCTTTGGGGGGTTCAGACTGAAACTGATGAAGGGACTTTCACACCTGACTGTCTGAAAGTAACATGTCACCAACCCACCCACCTGTTTAGTGTCTTTATTTTTCTTTTCCAGGTTTGAGTGGTTGATCTTACTGACTGACGAGTGAAATGTTCTGGTCACATGCTTCAAGCTGCAAATGCTGTGAAACTGTACGAGGATGTTGGGCAGGTTTTAGGTGAAGTCGCCTCTTCTGTTGATTTATTTTTCCAGAGAAATATTGAAGAAACAAATACAAAAGCTAAGAACTTGAATAGCCGTTATTATCTGAGCGACAGGAGTTTTGCGTTAATGTTGATGATAGTTTATCTGCTTCAGTGCCTCTTTCCTGCGAGGTCCCACAAGGCTCAATTCATGGACCCCTTGTTTTCATTGTATCTGCTCCCATTGAGGTCTATCCTGAGTAAACATGGTCTTTCATTTCATTGTTATGCTGATGATGGTCAGATTTATCTGCCCTTAAAACCCAATAGTTCATGCACAGTTCACCCTCTGTTAAAATGTCTTGATGACATCAAGGCATGAGTGGCTTAAAACTTTTCAAGATTCAACAATCAGAAGACTGAAGTCGTGTTTAGCCATAGCTCTGCTGCTGCCTCTGTTCCTGTAAACCTTAACTGTCTTCAGCCTTATCTTTAACAGTCTGTTACAAATCTCGTGAGGGTTTTTAACTCTGATTTTAAGTTTAATAAACAGATTAACTCTGTTCTACAAAAAGCGTCTTCCAGTTAAAGCAGATAGCTAAGTTTAAGTCAGTGTTGACCAGATCTGACTTTAAAAAAAAAATAGTTCATGCCTTCATTACGACCCGACTAGACTACTGCAACATGCTTTGTGTTGGGGTTAGTCAGGTCTCCCTTTCACGTTTCCAGCTTGTCCAAAATGCTGCAGTTCGGCTTTTAACAGGAATTTGTAGGTTTGAGCATGTTTCACCAGTTTTGTCCTCCCTTCACTGGCTCCCAGTACGGATCAGAATTGATTGTAAAATTATCCTGCTGACCTTTAAGTGCATAAATGTCCTTGCACCCTCATATCTCTCTGACCTACTTTAACCAGATGTTCCTTCTTGGGCTCTGAGATCATCTGACCAGCTGCTTTTTGGTTGAAGCTCAGAGGAGATCGGGCTTTTTCAGTCGTGGCCCCTAACCTCTGGAACAATCTGCCCCCCAACATTAGACAGATCCCTTCACTTCCTGTTTTTAAATCTCTCCTTAAACACACATGTTTTCTCTCACGTTTAACAATGTGATTTGATTTAGTATTTCATTGCTTTTGTGTTTTTATGTTTTGTTTTTGATGCTTTTAATTGCATCTTGTTATTATTATTTTTTCTTTAATTACTGCCTTGATCTTATTGTTAATCACTTTGGTAACAGCTGCTTTTATAAATGTGCTTTATACATAAATTTGTCTTGACTTGACTAAACCTCTGTGCCCCAGGCTTTTGAATATATATAATTTTTAAAAGTTTTCTTTTGGACTTTTAAATAGGAAGTCTTGTTTTTTCTGTATTCAGTTAATTTTTTTTTTTTTAATCATTTTTGTATTTTTTATGTCTTACTCTGCATCAGTTGAATATGTTCTTTATTCTTGCTGCCAAAAGCAAAGGTGGAGCAATAATGTATTTTTTTCCATATCTGTTTGTAATTGTTTATCTGTCGATAGCAAAGTATGTCTTAAATTACTGGTCCAATTTTAATGAAACGTTCAAAGAACAAATCTGGTTTGAACATCTGCAAATGATTACATTTTGGAGTCAACCCAATTCAAAATGGCTGCCACAGCTAGCTGATGTTAGGAAACAAAAATTGCCATGACTCGTTAACTTTACGCATCTTGGTCTAAAATTTGGTGTGGTAGTATTTTATACTTGTACTCAGAGCGCTACACATTGTGCCATATCTTTTACTTACAACGTTTGCATAACTGTTGACATCAACCCTGTCTTTTAGCAAAATATCTCCTGAATCAATGGATAGATTTCAATCTAACTCACAGAAAGTAAAACCTGCCTGAGCATCTTCAACTCAGTCACATGGAGTCAACCTATTTCAAGGCGGTCGAACTGACACCAGCCAACACAAAGTGTCTAACTCAGTCCCTTTAACAAAGAACATTTAGTTCATTTTCTGTATAAAATTATGTACAAAGATTAGGAATAATTAAATGTGCAAACATAATAGTCAAGTCATTGTAAAATGTATTGTCTAACTTTAAAAACAATGCATTATCTTACATAAGTAAGTAAAGTTTATTTTTAAGCACTACCTACTATTTCTAGCACCATTTCACTAAAGAACTTTATCTAAAACAGTAGAGGAACAAAAAATAGCAATGAAAACACTGATAATTAAGAAAAAGGACATGATAGTTAAAAAATTAAACTTGCTAAATTTTCAGGAACAAAAAAATAAACCGTAGAGTTGTCCGCCACCTTTAATGCATGACATTTAGACTAAAAACAACTTGATTAAAAATAAAAGAGCTGCAGTTGTTTTCGTCAAACCTTGAAAACAACGGTGTGCACAGTCCGTCGGTTCAAATCCAGGTCCTGGACCTTTCTGGGTGGAGTTTGCATGTTCTCTCCGTGCTGCGTGGGTTTTCTCCGGGTGCTCCGGTTTCTTCCCACAGACCAAAACATGCATGTTAGACTGACTGGTAACTCTAAACTGTCTCTAGGTGAGAGACTGTCCCTGTGATGGACTGGAGACATGTCCAGGGTGTCCCCTGCCTCTCACACAGTGATGGCTGGACATGGACAGTGACCCCCGTGACCCGAAAAGGAAGAAGCGGGTAAAGATAAAGAATGATGGATAATGGATCGCTGGATGTTTGACTCATATAAAGCGATGCAGTTCAAATACAAGAGAAACACTTACAGTAAACGAAGCTGAAGGTACATTTTTACTGTGCAGTACTGGGTATTAACGGTGGGTTCAAGTCTCCACTGAGAATATTTTTATATTTTGACATGCAGAATGCATTCATGTATTTTTCAATTGGTGATACATTGAAGAGTATTTCTCCAGTTCTTTCACA